AACCAATTTGAGCGTTGCAAGATTTATTAAGACATTTTCCTTAATGGGCTCTTAAACCTATAGAACTCTTCAAATCATTGTGACTGATAGGCTCTTAAGCCTATAGAGCTTTTCATCTCCTTTGAGATTTTCAACTCTTCTCAAGCTTTTCAGCCTTTCGAGAGTTTTTCAGCTCTTCATATTTAATAGGTTTCTAAACCTATGGAGCTTTTCAGCTTCTCTTGAGCTCTTTAGCTCCTCTTGAGCTATTCAGCTCTTTACGTTTTATAGGTTCATAAACCTACAAAGCTTTTCAAATCCTCTCAAGCTCCTTAGCTCGTACGCCAATAGAAATTTTTAGCTCTTCTCAAAGCCCTACATCCCTAGAGGCCTCTTACCTAGCTCATCAACTCATAAAAAAAAATTGCAAAAAGACTTGAGCTCTTCAGTTTAAGGTTAACAAGAAGATGTATATCACTACTTGCTTCTACATGGCTATTCAGTTTTCAGAAGTCAAGTGGGAAAAATGGATATTTCAACATAATAGCTACGCTATGCAAACAGATGCAAGCAATGAAGCTGAATAATGTCTATTTTATATACAAAAATGAGAGTGCAAAAGTCTCATCAAAAATACAAGGGGAAATAGTCCATAAGTTCTATCTCCTTCCAAAAAAAATAATCTCCTTAAAAAAAGAAAAAGATCAGCTCGACCTACTCTCTCCTTCCCCAACGGTTGTTTCATCAAGAAAAGTAGGCATGGATTGCTTAAAATCCAACTTCGGGAACAAGGACAGAGCTTGTAACTAGAAGTTTTCAAACCCATCTATGAAACTATTGGTGGCTTCAACCTTCAACTCCTCCACCTCTTTCCTCCTAGCTTCCATTTCAACTCCCGAGTCAAGGTATTTCTTGGTTATCTCAGCCAGTTGAGATTTTTAGCAGAGCATTATCCTTCACCACTTTATCTCTCAAGCCCGGCAAGGAATAGTTCTACCTCTTCAAGGCCAATTGACTCCTTAAGACGACCTCGACATGAGTGAGAGCCACATCAAAGGTTGTAGCATTACCTTGGACTTAGGCAATATTGGTTTAGAAATCAATGTCAACCCCATAGGCCTCTATTTGTTTGTGGTCATTATAGTAGTGTTGTAGGAAATGGAGAGACAATCAAAACCACAACCATCAAGTCAATTGTCTAGAAATCCATTGCAATTTGAACACTTGCATCGTCTAATTGGTGATAGTGACATTAATTGCATAGAACAACTGAGGATGGATAAACACACTTTTCGCGTTCTTTGTAATTTGGTGGAACAAGTAGGTGGTTTAAATCGCACCAGATATGTAAGCGTTGAAGAAATGGTGGCTATGTTCCTAAATATATTGGGTCATGATGTGAAGAATAGGCCAATAAAGTTCAACTTTCTAAGATCAGGCGAAACTGTAAGCAGAGATTTCAATGTTGTGTTGAAGTCAGTTATTAAGTTGCATTGTCTGCTATTAACGAGACCCAATCTAGTAACCGAGGACTGTACAGATAACAAGTGGCAGTGGTTTAAGGTAATGAAACCTTACAATTGTTTCATGTCATTGGATAGAATTTGGATGAATGGTAACAAAATATAATTTGTTTCATTATTTTTTATTTGTAGAATTGTGTAGGTGCACTAGATGGCACGCACATTAGAGCAAGGGTACCAATGATTCACCAAACAAGATATAGGAATAGACATGGTGACATTTCGACAAATGTCCTTGGTGTGTGCTCCTAAGATATGAAATTTANCAAGATATAGGAATAGACATGGTGACATTTCGACAAATGTCCTTGGTGTGTGCTCCTAAGATACGAAATTTATTTATGTCTTGCCTGGTTGGGAAGGGTCGGTTGCTGATTCTAGGATACTACGAGATGCAGTAATGAAGAGGAATGGCTTTAAAGTGGCTTGGGGTAAGTTATGTATGACCACTAGTATTATTTTCTATAACAGTTAGTAGGAGTGTTCTTACAAAACCACAATTTCTACACAGGCACCTACTACCTAGTGGATGCCAGTTACACAAATGGGAAAGGGTTCTTTGCTCCATTTAGGGGCCAAAGATACCATGTGCAACAATGGGCCAAAGGGGCAGCTGCACCTCGTAATGCTGAGGAACTCTTCAACCTTAGGCATTCAATGGCTAGGAATGTTATAGAATGTTCTTTTGCGTTACTCAAAAATCGTTGGGCAATCCTAAGGACTCCTTGCCATTACCCAGTACGCACACACAATCGAATCATTGTTGCATGCTGCTTGTTTCATAATTTGATTAGAAATGAAATGGCTTTTGACCCAGTGGAAGATGAGTTGCCAGAAGATGGTCAAGCCGATGGTCATGGTGATATAGAGCCGGATGTCATCGACATGGTCGACACATCTAATGAATGGACTGCATTTAGAAACCAACTAGCCAACAATATGTACAATGAATGGTGTGAGAGTAGGGGTGGCTAAATGTTTTACCACTTTTTTAGTAACAAATCAATTAAGTTATATGTATTTAATTTGGGATAATTTATGTCAACTATTTGTGTTTTCTTATTATAACTTTACCCAAGTCATATATATTCGTGTGTTTGTTGATTATTTAATGGTATTTGGCTTGTATGTATGTAAGTAGGTCATGTCAAGTGTTGGTGCCAGCAGCCAAGTAGAGCGTGGTCCACACCGAACATGGATAGTTGCGGAGGAGACTTTTCTGATTCAAGCATTAAAAGAACTATGTGTAAACGGATAGAAGTGTCATAATGGCACATTTCGTCCGAGGTATCTACAAACATTAGAGAACAATTTAAAGGAAGNTGGACTGCATTTAGAAACCAACTAGCCAACAATATGTACAATGAATGGTGTGAGAGTAGGGGTGGCTAAATGTTTTACCACTTTTTTAGTAACAAATCAATTAAGTTATATGTATTTAATTTGGGATAATTTATGTCAACTATTTGTGTTTTCTTATTATAACTTTACCCAAGTCATATATATTCGTGTGTTTGTTGATTATTTAATGGTATTTGGCTTGTACGTATGTAAGTAGGTCATGTCAAGTGTTGGTGCCAGCAGCCAAGTAGAGCGTGGTCCACACCGAACATGGATAGTTGCGGAGGAGACTTTTCTGATTCAAGCATTAAAAGAGCTATGTGTAAACGGATAGAAGTGTCATAATGGCACATTTCGTCCGAGGTATCTACAAACATTAGAGAACAATTTAAAGGAAACATTCCCAACGTCTGACCTTAGGGCATCACCACATATTGAGTCAAAAATCAAAGCATGAAAAAAATAGTACAACTCTTTGTTTTCAATGCTAAGCACATCCGATTTTGGATGGAATGATTTTGAGAAGAAAGTGGATGTTTATGGTGAAGATATCTGGGTGGAGTACTTGAAGGTTTTACTACTCACTTGCATCCATTAATAATAATAAACCAAGATAACTTGTATATATTATGTTCTATTAATTTTTCTAATGACAATGTAGAAAGACAAGAATGCAAAGGGAATGCGTGGTAGATCATGGTCATTCTATGATGATTGGGTCCTTATATTTGGGAAAGATAGGGCAATGGGTGAGTTTGCCCAAGGACNTTTATGGTGAAGATATCTGGGTGGAGTACTTGAAGGTTTTACTACTCACTTGCATCCATTAATAATAATAAACCAAGATAACTTGTATATATTATGTTCTATTAATTTTTCTAATGACAATGTAGAAAGACAAGAATGCAAAGAGAATGCGTTGTAGATCATGGCCATTCTATGATGATTGGGTCCTTATATTTGGGAAAGATAGGGCAATGGGTGAGTTTGCCCAAGGACTAGAGGAAATGATTGAAGATAATTTAGCTGTTAGGGATGTCCCTGATGATGCCAATGTAGAGGCTCATTCAACTGGGGGAACGGATGTTGNAAACCAAGATAACTTGTATATATTATGTTCTATTAATTTTTCTAATGACAATGTAGAAAGACAAGAATGCAAAGAGAATGCGTGGTAGATCATGGCCATTCTATGATGATTGGGTCCTTATATTTGGGAAAGATAGGGCAATGGGTGAGTTTGCCCAAGGACTAGAGGAAATGATTGAAGATAATTCAGCTGTTAGGGATGTCCCTAATGATGCCAATGTAGAGGCTCATTTAACTGGGGGAACGGATGCTATTAGCCACTCTCAAAGTGTAACTCAAGGCAAGGAGGGTGTGAATGTCACCCCATAGACACATAAGACAAAAAAAAAAAAAATTCTAGTGATCTGAGTGATTCAATGGTTACAAGTCTTTCCCAGATATGTAAGGTATTTGGTGATTACGTTGTTGCAAGCGAGAACCAACTAGCAAGCATTGCACAGAGAGCAGGCTACGAGCAAGATGCAGCTACAAGTAAACGTGTCATCCTAACAGAGTTGTCAAAAATAGATGGCCTAACAATGGCACACCGCCACGAGGCAACACACAAAATTGCCTCAGATTACATAAAAGTTGGCATTTTCTTTAGCTTGCCAGTGGAAGATCGAGCAGTTTGGGTTGGCAGCATATTGTGGCCTGATTTAGATGTTTATCAAGGTCGTATGTAAAGTTACTCATATCCTANATAGATGGCCTAACAATGGCACACCGCCACGAGGCAACACACAAAATTGCCTCAGATAACATAAAAGTTGGCATTTTCTTTAGCTTGCCAGTGGAAGATCGAGCAGTTTGGGTTGGCAACATATTGTGGCCTGATTTAGATGTTTATCAAGGTCGTATGTAAAGTTACTCATATCCTACTTGTGAACTAATTTTTGGTTGACCCATGTGTCACATTTTTTGTAGCAACTTATGTATGATGTGGATGTTTTGGATGTTTGACTTATTAATTAGATGTGTTACTTTAATGTTTCGCTTGTATGTTGTTCACTTATTATGTTATCCTATGTATGTATGGTTATGGATGATAATTTTTTTTTTTTGTAATTGTTGTGGTATTAGTACACAATGAAGCTACCCGACATGACTACGGATGAAGTTGATGTCATGCTAGACTTATTAGTTGACTTTAAGAATCGCGGGAAATTACCTATAGCAGACAGGTATTCTGAAAGACTGCTTGATGCACTCTATACACGTATACGACGAAAGATGCCTAGGTTTCATATGTCATTGAGTGATATGTTGAGGGCAATCATTTTTTGGGAGCGTCAATATAAAAGCATTGCAGAGTNGTTGACTTTAAGAATCACGGGAAATTACCTATAGCAGACAGGTATTCTGAAAGACTGCTTGATGCACTCTATACACGTATACGACGAAAGATGCCTAGGTTTCATATGTCTTTGAGTGATATGTTGAGGGCAATCATTTTTTGGGAGCGTCAATATAAAAGCATTGCAGAGATGTTAAACAATGGAATGTTTGTTTGGGACACACAAAATACGTGTGTTGTTGAAGGCCAAGAGTCTGGTGGTTTGGATTTCATTCAAGTACGTGATTCTAATTAATTTGTTTCATGTTTGTGTTAGTGTGCCATTGTTTTATTACTCGACACATTTATGGTTCTATATTATAACTTGACACATTTATTACAGGATGATGGTTTTGCTTGTAACTATTATTTGGATCCTTGTCCAAACTTCTCAATTTTGAAAATTATTTTCAAGAACGATACCAACCCCAAGTCAACAGCACATTGATAGCAGTGCTAGATCATGGCCATCAGTAAATTTGANACATTTATTACAGGATGATGGTTTTGCTTGTAACTATTATTTGGATCCTTGTCCAAATTTCTCAATTTTGAAAATTATTTTCAAGAACGATGTACCAACCCCAAGTCAACAACACATTGATAGCAGTGCTAGATCATGCCCATCAGTAAATTTGGGGAGGAGGGAAGATGATGTCATAGTTATTGATGATGATTGACATCGTCATTTGTCATGTAACAAAAACTCGGGGTGTATGTACTTGGGCAAACTTGCCCAAGTGAACCTGAATGCCAATGACTTATTTCTTTAGTTCATAAATCATTCGATAGAGGCAGAGTTGTTTGATCACTCTAGTATTGTTGTATGTTTTTTGTGTAGGTTTATGTATTATGTTGGATTTGTGGGTTTAATTATGTTGTGTGTGACATTCGTTTGCCATGTTCTTAATTTGTGCCGAAGGCTGTAGTTGATTAAATTTGATTCTCAAGTATTAATTCAAATGATTTTGGGGAAGACAGCGGTGCTATTTTGTAATTTTTTCAGTTCATTTTTGGGTGTTTAACGTGTTTATCAAGTCCAGGTAGCAATTCCTATCATACCCAGGTGCTTGGGCAGACAGTCTTGAGTGCTTGCAGTTCCTGATGATTTGCAGAAGGGCTGCAGTACTGTTGTTTTTGAGGTCAGTTGCTGGGGTATGGTGGATTGCTATGGGTTTTGGAATGGTTCACTTTGTGGACTGATTTGCTTCTGTGAGAACAGAAATTTGCAAGTTCAGTGGTTTTTACTGCTGTTTTAGTTTATGTTTGGGGGGGGTGGAAGTAGGCTCATGAGCTGAACTATGAGCAAAGGAGCGGCTGTGTTGTGAGAGGTACTTTTAACAGGAGGGACTATCAGGTCCAATTTGGTTCATGCAGGTAGTCTGGCGAGCTGATCTGAATAGATATGGGACTGTCTCTTGCAGGATGCCTGCTCGACTGTGCTGGAGCTGTTTCTGTGCAGCTGTATGGATCAGAAGGTGCTGCTGGATCAGAGCACTACAAGAGCTGCTACAGTCATTGTACAAGAATTTTCTGTTTATAGCACGTTAGAGCACGTATAAACAGTTTTTACTGTTTTTCTGTTCAAATAGGAGCTTTATCATATTGTTTTAAGGGATGGTTGTTTGCCTTTCTAGCATTGTAGTCAAGTTTTANAGAGCACTACAAGAGCTGCTACAGTCATTGTACAAGAATTTTCTGTTTATAGCACGTATAAACAGTTTTTACTGTTTTTCTGTTCAAACAGGAGCTTTATCATATTGTTTTAAGGGATGGTTGTTTGCCTTTAAAAATAAAATAAAGTGTTGATTTGTTTGAAATAAAAATTATTAACTTTCCTAAACTTTTATTAACTGGAATCTTGGGAATTCTAAGGCAGTAACACTTTGATGATTTGAGGAAACTTCTTAGCTAGGGGATTTTATCACCCACCAGAATTTAGAATTTCAAGCTACTTTAAGCTACTGGAGCAAATTCGGTTGCTGATTTTCTTGCTAATAAAGGAGTTTAAGATCGTATGGATACGGAGATAACTTCTGCAAATTCGTTGCCGTCTGAGGCGCGATTTTTACTTCAGCAAGATCAAAGACAGTATCGATTTTTAAGGAGAAAGAATTTTAAGTGTTAAATCAGATGAGATGACTCCTCAATTGTGCTTGTTTGACTGTTCATGGGACTAGGTTGCTTTGACTAGAGTAGGCTGTTTCGACTGGTATGGATTACAGATGGACTGATTCAACTGGAGTTTCTTGGTTTTGAATGGAGTGGGCTACTTCGCATTTTCCTTCTGTTGCAACTGAAGTTGTTCACGTTGCTGCAAGGTCCTCCTCCAGCTGGTTTATTATTGCAGAGGCAGTCTTTCGGAATTGCAGCTGAACCTTCATCAGCTAAGACTCTTCCAGCTGGACTGTCAGGAAACTTTTCTCACCTGGGCTATTTATTTGAACCACAAACACAGAAAATTAACAGTCCAATTCAGCTGTGGGGTTCCAGCTGCGGGTTTTAAGGAGAAGAGATGTCAGCAATTATTCTACCTGAGATTCTTATAGCTCCAGCTGAACTGTTTCTAATTGGAATTCTTAGATGGATTTCTTTTAGCAGAATGTTGTTATTGGATATTTTCAGTTCGAATCTCTTTCAGCAGTATTATATTTCAGTTGGGTTTCTGGCAGCAGGCAGCAGGTTGCGAGTTACTTCAGCTAGATTTTTACTGTCCATGCCAATTTTCACAGCACTGTTCACGGTTGTTCATGAGTAATGTTCATGGTACTGTTCATTATGATGTAATTGCATGCATTTTTATTTATTTATTTTATTTTACTCATAATGTATTTACATGCATGTCGAGGTAGGTTACATTCGTCCCCTCGGTAGGTGTAATTTATTTTCAAAATCAATAAAATTTTCTCGTACCATTGAAGTTATTCAAAAAAAAAATTAGTGGTTTGATGGATTTACAGGGTACTGATTCAATCAAACTCAATCAAAAACTTGTTAATTCTATGTTGGGAGGTTGTGAATGTGCCTGGCATAAGTCATATTTGGAGCAAATTTGTTGATTTGTGTTAAAAAGAGGTCTTGTTGCATTGGTTTTTTTTTCCCAGTCAAGTGTTGGGGACTATTTTTATATTTTCATCGTTTTTGTTGCTCTATCATATTGTTTTAAGGGATTCTTGTTTGTCTTTCTAATTTTTAAAAAATAAAATAAAGTGTTGATTTATTTGAAAAAAAAATTATTAACTTTTTTTTAAAAAATTTATTTTATTTTTATATATTTTTATGTATATGTGAAATATGTATAATTTTATTATGATAATTCATCAATCCAAACATAGGATAGANAAAAATTATTAACTTTTTTTTAAAAAATTTATTTTATTTTTATATATTTTTATGTATATGTGAAAAATGTATAATTATGATAATTCATCAATCCAAACATAGGATAGAATTGGTTTTGATTGAAATAGATAGAGTCATGGCTAAAATTGTAAACTACTACAAATTATTTGTGTAACCTATGGAGCCAATTGAATTACACTTTCTTTTCCAAACATAGGTGAGGATTAGATATATTAGAATGTTAGGGTTTTAAAGTGAACAACAAAGTTTGGATTGAATGGGTTACGGTATGAAAAAAAAAATAACTTGTCCTATCCACTCCAGCTAACCAAACACCCCCCTACCGTTAACACACTTTTCATACCTCAAAACCCTAGAAAGATCTCTCTAGGGTTCATTCATTGTCCTATGATTTTCTGATATCAAAGAGCTGTGAAACTAAACTCATAGGGATTCCTGGCCGACATCGCAGTTCGGTACCTCCATCACTTAGCCGGTTGGACAGAGTGCAATGTGTTTGATATAGTTCAAGTTCTAGAAGATTTAGGCTTTTCTACTAGGATTCCGCATGCGTCAGAAATTACTCACTGTATGACAAATTCGGGTATTGTTAGAGAGATTTTTTATTATGTAGAGTATGCTGAGGAAGTCCCATATGCTCAGCCGGTGCCATATTTTACGGTAGTGAGAAATAAAAGGGGGATACGAAATTTCATTGAAATGGGTGAAACATTCAAACATATACCAGCTTGGTTGCCGGCATTTCGTGATCCTCACACATATATACACTCAGCTGTGTGGAATGAGAGGGTTACAGATCCTCGGGATGATAAAATCCAGCTAGCAAGGCAGCGGAGGAAGGCGGAGAGGTCTTTGTTAAGTTTGCAGCAGCGGTTGGTGTGCAATCGTTCAAGAGTAGCTTCAATATCAGCAGAAGCAACTGATAATTGGCAGGGATCAGAATTTGATAGAAATAAGTATCCATTCCCTGTCCCAGCCTGAGAGGAAGATGTTTCACCAGTTTTTTCGCCCACCTAATTATAGGATCAAGTCAACACAGGTTCCTCTGATGGAGACATTTGCGCCTGCCATTGAAGCATTGGAAGGTGGATACTGCAAATCTGGAGATGGTGGCGACATAAGTCTTCCAGACAAGAGGCCTGCTGTTTAGTTGGAGTTCAAAGCTGGTAAAAAGATATTAGGTGAACCATTGAGTTTGAACCTCTGGAAAAAAGTTCCTGGGAAGACAGCGTCTGGGCTGGGGTGGGATGATGAGAAAGATGACAAGAAGAGAAGAAGAGAAGACCTGAGTTCATTTTAAGACAATCCATGGAAAACCAACGGGAGCTCACTCTGTTGTGAGTTAAATTCATAGAATGGTTGGCCTAAAGGAAACTGTCATTTCGGTTCTGAAACATATCATTCGCTTGCTATCATATCAGTTTAAGACAATCCATGGAAAAGTCATTCGCTTGTTGTATCCATGAAGTGATTTGATGATATTTCATACAAGCGTCCCTCACAAGCTAACTTAAACACAANAGTTTAAGACAATCCATGGAAAAGTCATTCGCTTGTTGTATCCATGAAGTGATTTGACGATATTTCATACAAGCGTCCCTCATAAGATAACTTAAACACATGTTGAAGGTATGTTAATTGTTGTTTCAAACTTTTAGTGGCTCTACTATGGAGCAAATTTATTTCTCAAATGAATTTTTACTTTTCCCCGCTCTCTAATGTTGGATGGATGATTGTAATTTTCTGTTTGTGATCATGAACTTCTTTCTCCCGCTAGAATGTAACAAAAATGAATGTATGCACAAGCTATTTGCGGTGCCACTAGAACAAGTAATGTAAATTGCTGATGCTTTCTGCTGCAAACATTTTCAATTAACAGGTTGGGCACCCTTGTAATCGGAACCCAGTTAGCCATTTCCTATTCAAAAGGGGAAGCAAGAAGAAATTTTTTTCTTCAAACCATGGCAACTGACCTAAATTGTGTCCTGAAAAGTAGTTGAGGATGAAGAATATTATGTAGTACAATGTAAAAAGAAGTTATTTTGCCTATTTTGTGCTTGTAGATTTTTTCTAATAGATTCGCAATTCATGATCATTGAGGCTTTGTTTACATGCCTCATTGCAAATGAGAATATTGGTTTGGATTTTCTGGTTGTTTGCTGAAGCTCTTACACCTGGATATACAATTGTGAACTTAAAGGTCACATGTTTTGTTACGTTTCATTGTGGCTATTAACATTTCATCTGCTGCAATGACCTTCTTGAGCGTACAGGTGCTGAGTTGATTATTCTACTGGTGTAATGTTATTGGTATCGAGATTTGCATTTTATTCGTATGTCTCAGTTTGATGAAAACTTTTTTCTAGTCTGCTTATCATCGGCTACTAAATGGTTTCTCTCTCTTGTATAATTTTGGTTGTCATCTTGGCCATCGTGTACTGAACTCAATTCTATTATTAGATCAGTTAAACCACATGCTACTATGTCTTCCCTAACTATCTCAATCCNCGTATGTCTCAGTTTGATGAAAACTTTTTTCTAGTCTGCTTATCATCGGCTACTAAAAGGTTTCTCTCTCTTGTATAATTTTGGTTGTCATCTTGGCCATTGTGTACTGAACTCAATTCTATTATTAGATCAGTTAAACCACATGCTACTATGTCTTCCCTAACTATCTCAATCCGCATTAAATTTGGTCTACCCATCCCTAGTATTGGATTTGAGATCAATTAGTCATCTTGGTGGTTGTACTTGTCAGTTTTATTATTCCGGTTTGTGTGTGTCTAAATGTCAACCATTTGGGATGTTAGGAAGAAGCATAGTTGTTAGTATCGTACTATACGCGATATGTATAGTACGATATGTTACAATACAGAGGTAAAACGATACGGATCGTAATTATATATCGTTTTTGCACCGTATCGTCCGATACACGATACGTTTTTATNAGTATTGGATTTGAGATCAATTAGTCATCTTGGTGGTTGTACTTGTTAGTTTTATTATTCCGGTTTGTGTGTGTCTAAATGTCAACCATTTGGGATGTTAGGAAGAAGCATAGTTGTTAGTATCGTACTATACGCGATACGTATAGTACGATACGTTACGATACAGAGGTAAAACGATACGGATCGTAATTATATATCGTTTTTGCACCGTATCGTCTGATACACGATACGTTTTTACGATACGATACGTATCGGTACGATACGACTTATATGCGTAAAACCTGTTTTTTTTTTTTTTCCTGAAACGGCGTCGTTTTGTCTAAATAAGACACTAATTTTTTTTTTGTACAAAAATTTCTGAATTTTGATTATNTTTTTTTTTTCCTGAAACGGCGTCGTTTTGTCTAAATAAGACACTAATTTTTTTTTTTGTACAAAAATTTCTGAATTTTGATTATTTTTATGGATTGAGTTCAAAATGGATGTTAGAAATTTGGATTAAAAGTCTCTTTGGGGTTTGAAGTTTGAATTAGTGAACTATGGTTGTAAACTTTGCTTTATAATATTAATGAACTATGTTGATAACTTGAATAGGTGGTGAAGTATANTTAATTTTATGGATTGAGTTCAAAATGGATGTTAGAAATTTGGATTAAAAGTCTCTTGGGTTTGAAGTTTGAATTAGTGAACTATGATTGTAAACTTTGCTTTATAATATTAATGAACTATGTTGATAACTTGAATAGGTGGTGAAGTATGAATGAAATGCTATATTTTTATGAGTGTATGATTTTTTTTCAAAAGTATATATATTTTTTTATTATTTATTTAAAATTGCACCGTATCTTACGATACACGATACGATACACTATTTTTAAAAAACGATACACCTTCCGATACACGATTTGATAACTATGGGAAGGAGAACAATTTTATGAAGATTCCTCGTGTATTCGTTTGGCACTTAACAATTTTTGCTTTGCATGTACTTCAAGTTGGAATAGGAGATCACCTTTATCTTCTGCCAATGGCCTATTCTTTGCAAGATTTGGTTTTGAGTACCATACACTCTACTCATGTACTGTAGCTGTTCTCATGAGATACGATAGTTTGCTTACTTCTTAGAGGACAGGTAGTTTACTACCTTAGAGAGATGAGGATGCTTGTGTATGGACTGAACAAGAGCTTAGTGAGAAGATGTGGAACTAGGCAAACGTTGGGGGTGCTGTCCTGAAGCCACTTGTGGCAATTGCTTTCCTTGGAAGCTAACCAGGTGTTTGGAGGTATTTCCCGAAGTTGTGGGCGTAATGTATTCTTTTTGAACTTTGCAAGGTCAACAGATTTTATCGAAGTGATACTCCATGCTTTTTGGAGGATTTGACCATTAGGAGAGTAGCTTTTTATTGGTTGTTGCCATGCAATATTCAACCAATATTTTGAAGTATATGTATTGACAAGTGTACCTCTCCATGGAGATACCTCCTATAGTCTTTGGAGCAGCTAGATGTGGGCATTTCTTTTGCAGATTTACGTGACTTAAGTTTGGGTCTAAGGTACATGTGACCAACGAATTGGCTTTTGTTCAAATTAGGACTGATTCGTATTGCAGATTATTTGGTTAATCAGCAGCATCCCAGTCGCAGGAGGTGAGCCTGAATGGGTTATTCTGCCAACATGTTAGCAGGCATTCTTTACTAGACGCTGCCACGTGCTCTGCGAGGATGGCAGCCAAGGATACATGATGAAGAGATCTGTACACGGATGGAGTAACATGCCCTGTACATGATTTTGCTCCTACACGGATGGAGTAACATGCTCTGTACATGATTTTGCTCCTACACTGAGTGTAGTAACATACTAACAGTTTACAGGTGACGCTTTCAGAGTACTTCATGGATGAAATTCAATGTCTTCCGGCCTCGAGTCGAGTTTCCTGAGCAGGAATTTCCATTCAACATTAGTCCTTGAATGTGCATGTGCTTTGGCTTTGATGCAACGGTTCTTGTTTCAGTGCTGCAATGGCACACCTGATGGATTCATGGTGATGGGTTTCAGCCTTCCTACTTTTTATTGAGGATTGTCGTAGACACGTTGAATTGAAGATTTTAAGTGATAATTTTGTGTTCGGTGTATGCTGGATCATGTAGGCAAGGGATGATAGTATGCTAGTAAATGTGATTTGGTAGTTACTTTGTGCGGTTGATTATGAATGATTTTTTCCCCAGAAGGTAAGCACTAATAAAGTTGGACATTAGTCGTAAGCAACTTCTTGGTGTTGACATTTTAGGATTCATTCTCCCAAAATTTTGGACTATTAGCATAATTGTCACTCCCTGTGCTTTTATATTCGTATTACCGTTTTAATATATAAAGAAATATCTAATTATATGCATGCCCTCAAGATGGAAATCATCTTACTTAAAGGACATGTTTGTTTGCAGTATTAAATTTAGGTGGTATTAGAAATCATTTTCATTCCACTCCTATTCAATGGTATATACCTGGTCTTAAACTTATATCACATCTTTCCCCTTATTTATTTGTTCAATAAGTATTATAGTGGGTCTCACAAACCATCTATTCTATTACATCTTATATAACAAATATATCATTTTACCCTTAACCATATATACAAAGAAAAAATTTAAAATAATTTTTAAAAAAAAATCGATAACACCGTACGCTTAAACATAATATAAAGAAAAAAATTTACAAAAAAAACCGGTGACACCGTACACTTAAATATAATACAAAGAAAAATTCAAAATAAATTTTTTATATCNGTATTATAGTGGGTCTCACAAACCATCTATTCTATTACATCTTATATAACAAATATACCATTTTACTCTTAACATTTTATATTCCATTTTACCCTTAACCATATATACAAAGAAAAAATTTAAAATAATTTTTAAAAAAAAATCGATAACACTGTGCGCTTAAACATAATATAAAGAAAAAAATTTACAAAAAAAATCGGTGACACCGTACACTTAAATATAATACAAAGAAAAATTCAAAATAAATTTTTTATATGTGAACTCTTCACATAGGAGGACATTTGTATCATTTTATTCGCTTATACCGCCCTTGCACTTGTATCGGAAAGATAATAGGTGGTATTACTTAGTATTATATAGAAGGCATTAAAGTCACTGTTTACACCGGGTCGATACTACGACCTAGAAAATAATACTGAACAAAAAATACCAAACAAACAAAATATAAAATAGGCCCCAGTGTCCCACGTACTATTTTCCTAATAGCACNTGTGAACTCTTCACATAGGAGGACATTTGTATCATTTTATTCGCTTATACCGCCCTTACACTTGTATCGGGAAGATAATAGGTGGTATTACTTAGTATTATATAGAAGGCATTAAAGTCACTGTTTACACCAGGTCGGTACTACGACCTAGAAAATAATACTGAGCAAAAAATACCAAACAAACAAAATATAAAATAGGCCCCAGTGTCCCACGTACTATTTTCCTAATAGCAACCAAAACAAACAGCCCCTAGTAGAACATATGCCATTTGGCTCATTTCAACCATGAAAAATAATGTTTTATTTTGCTTTATCACGGAAACAACATTTTAACTGGTTGCACCTTGTAGATGTCCAAATATTTCTAAGCTGTCGTTGTTTAGCAGGATTCTTAGAGACTGCAAATGCGCTTCTACAAGAGAATTCTTTGGAGCTCACTTGCTTCACAAGGTATGACCAACACTCCTGGTTGATCGAATCCAAATTCACGTTCTGAGGCTTCTAGTAGCTTGACAAATGGAGGATATGAAAGATAGCTTAATGCAACCAAGAACTTCTTTGGTTAACTACTGCCCACGGCCAGCACTGAAAAATGCCCTTCTTTCGAATTTCCCAGATGATTTACCTTGCGGGCACTGTTGCAGTCTCTGGCTTCGAAACTGAAGAGGTAGAGGAAACTCTTTTGCAACTGCTTCACTGCATGCTTTACCCTAACAATGGAGTAACTCTCTCTGCATTTTAGTATTATCTGAGCAAAAAATGAAATATGTTTTACTTTCCTGTTCTGCATATTTTTTTCAGCAGAGTCGGTGTGTGTTCTTTTCTTGAGAAACTTCTGTTGGATATAAATAGATAAAAGGTACAGAAAACTGAACCCTTTTTCACTGAATCTGGTGTATTTAGTGTCTTACTGTCTTATTTAATCGTCAACCTCTGATGAGTCTTTTCAGAGTCACCCAACTTGACTTCCCTCTAAAGAAGCATGAGAGAGAGAGGGGGGGGGGTGCACATGCAGTGCCCTGTGGTGATGAGATGATAGTTTTCAATATTTTCACATCCTTTGCCATTTTTGTCTCCATCTGTCTGTGTCATGAATTAGATACCACGGCAAAAACAAAGTATAAGTAATGGACACCAGTCAGTTGAGACAATACAAATATCTGGTTACCGACTTCGTTTCCGGACATGTGAGGACTCTATCCGTAGGACTGCCTAAAAAGGTTTTAATTTTCCAACTGCTTATTTGGTCTGAGGAATACATCGGGTTTTGGTGTGGAAATCAATTTCTCCTAAATAATATGTGACTATACAATTTTTCTCTTTCAGATATGCTATAGGCAGGATGTCATATTCACCGTGCACAGCGAGTTGCTTCAGAAGTGCGTCAAGAAATTGCTGTTGCAAGTATATGTGTACGAAATCCTCAAGCTATACCGCCACAAGTTGCCGGGGACCATGGCCAAAGCCTCAACCACAGAAATTTGGCTGCAGCATTGGAGGGGAGAAGGACAGTTCAGTAGCAAAATTTCATGCTTACCTGTGGAGGGGAAATTTTGTTTAGTATAATAAGTCTGAATTATAAGGAGCCTAGAGACGAGAAACAGATCAGTTCATGCACAGGAAAGGAATCGTAATTGTGCATGCATTTGGACAAAGTTTTTAGTCATGCCAAGTTGCAATCAATTTAACACATTTCTGTCTGTCGAAGAACACTGCTCAAAAAAAAATCTGTCGAAGAATGAGTATGAGGAGTCAGTATTGTGCATCTAAATTCAACAAGTGTGCTAGCTTCTTCTGCGTGACACACTATCCTGAATACCAGAGAATTACATTTGATTACCCAATGGGAAAAAAAGGTAACGTCTTGGTAAGTTTAAAAATACTGAACACATTGTGTCTTTTGTCACTTCAACTTCATGTTGATCTCTAAAGGAAATGCTCTTCCACGATGATTGAATATCATGAAATCCAAATTGGAGGATAAAGTAACCACCCTGCATTCCAGAAAACAAGAAACCTAGTGTAAGTTATCCCAAACATTTTCCCAGCAATGAAAAATTAGGTACCATCTGAAACTCAAACGTCAAACTCGGAAAAAAAATTCTAAAAGGGGGTGAGAACTAGGCATTACCAATAACTTCTTGTGCCAAAACACATACAATTATAATTCCAAAGTTGACAGATAGCTAGGAACTGAAAAATCAGAACAGATAAAAAGCTAACTATCTTCTTTGAAATGCCTCGTAATGTGTTCCTGTCCATATAGAATGCCTCACAACGTTTTTTTCTGAGTTACCAGTTCAGCCTGAATGAAACTAATAGACACAAGTAACCTAGTCCAACAGAAGTACCTTACAAGTAGCCTACTTAGTGACGTGGAGCTTACAAGTACCCTACAAGATGCTTATAACCGGTGAGCTAATGACAACCATTTCGTATCCTGAAGAAACCCAGCTCCTTAACTCTCCATTTTTCGTTTTCTTTTCCTAATTAGAATCAGTTCCTTCTCTCCGTATCACCTGAACATGATTATAGCTCAGGAAGATATCTTCCGTCTCATTTTTGAGAATGTGGGGTTTTGTATGCTATATTATAAACGAGGGGATTCCATTTTTCGTCNTCACCTGAACATGATTATAGCTCAGGAAGATATCTTACGTCTCATTTTTTAGAATGTGGGGTTTTGTATGCTATATTATAAATGAGGGGATTCCATTTTTCGTCCCCCTACTGTTCACAGTCACTATGGCCCCACAATAAAGGCCAAAGTAAATAATATCAGCTTCATCATGATTCATTGGCTTAGCTCGGCTCACCTCAGTAAGCCAAACCCACGAACATAGCCACTGTAATGACTCACAAAAGAGAACTCTATTTAGTCATGACCTATTTTATTGTAAGCCAACTATTCTCTTCATCCACATCTTTTACGTAGCTACATTGCTTCACTATTTCTTCCATTGTGGCAATGGCAGATTTCTTGCAAACAGAAAGATTAAAGGTTTCCCACTACATAGTATAAAATAATCTTGCTCATTTATACAATGCTTAGAGTAAGGGCGACAATTGAGCCATGTTGGGTCATGGTTAAATTGTGCAATTTCATATTCGTGTTCAATATTAGTAAATTTTAACATAATACATTTGATTAATTGGGTCAGATGTTTTACTTTCTGAAGAAAAAAAAATTGGTTAGATGTTATGATCATAATTTGACCTGGTTGTTATTTGTCTTGTTTGAATTAACCCGTATAACTCGTAAATTAAAATTCAATACTAAAATCTCATTATTTTTCCAACAAATTCACTGCTGATAATTTTTTGATAGGCTAAAATCTATTGAGGTACATATAATAGCAAAAATATGTAAAAAAAATCCTACATTTACAATAATTCATGTCAATACTTGACAAAAATGACATAATTCAATCATTTGCTCATAATACTAATTAAATGGGTTTGCCGGGTTAAATTCGACTTATTTGTCCAACACTAACCTGATCCATTGTATAATTCATGTTAGAAGACTGTGTCGTTTTCGAATTCTTGTTAAGCAAAATTCAACCTTAACCTTCTAATTATGTGACAGTTTCGAGTCATATTAACGTGTCAAGTTACCATTAGTGTCACCTTTAGCATGGATCATATGAGTGTTATATATGAATGTGTGTACGAACTCAATTTGTTCACTGTGTCTAATGAGTAGACATTATTCAAGCTCGATTTGTTCATTGAACGAGCTCTATAGTTGTGTTCAAACTTGATTCGTTTTACAAATAAACAATCTTGAACTAGCTCCAACATGAGTCGATCCATAGCTATTCAAAAACACTTAGATTCATTTGCACTCCTATGAATCCCTATCAATGAGGGTTGAGCCACACTTTGACCAAGTTCGTCACAAACCCACTCTAAAAAAATTTTGTGCAATAAATATTAGGACCATATTGTAAATATAATTAGAGTCATAATATAAAATGACAAAATGTTTTGACTGAAAAAATCAAATACATAAATATCTACCCCGAACAAGATTATTCTCACTTGACAAAATCAAATTAGGGATTAAGAGTCTTAGAGAGAAACAAAGATATGATGATCTTGCACTTCTTTTTGGCAGTTGTACAATGCTCCGAAGAGTTGTGACTTGCTTTAATTTGATGTATGGTAAGTTGGCAACAACATTACCCATTATTTTCCAATAATTCTTAAGCTATATAAGCATGATTTCTTTTTGTTGGCATGCTCTTTTGCTACAGTT